GTCTGTATGTAGGTATGTATGTATGTACGTATGTATGTATGCATGCATGTAAGTCTGTCTGTCTGTATGTATGTACGTAGGTAGGTAGGTAGGTAGGTAGGTAGGTAGGTAGGTAGGTAGGTAGGTATGTATATGTGTGTGTTTGTGTTTATGTCTGTGTATGTGTGTATGTGTGTGGTATGTGTGTGTGTGTGTGCGCATGTGTGCATGTGTGCATGTGTGCATGTGTGTATGTGTGTATGTGTGTATGTGTATGTGTATGTGTATGTGTATGTGTGCATGTGTATGTGTATGTCCAGACGTGCACACATATTCCTGTTATATTTCAGAGTATACGAGGCCTGAATGCTTGTTAGTTGATCCAGTTCTAGAGTACAAATACGAGATCTGCGATCAAACAAGACAGCGTAGTCGCATAGCAGCATAGCAGTATAAGTATGTACCTACAAGCACGAGTAACACGTGAGATTATAGCTCAAAATTGAGGGGCATGCGATGAAGATGAGCGTAGAATCGGCACAAGAACCTGGAAAATGCTGAACGCCATTGAATGCCAAGGAGACTGGCCTTTGAAGCTTGAATGCGTGAGAAGCCCGAACTTCGAGGATCTCGCATATCACCGCCTCCCGATCTTCACGGAAAAGTTCAGGGGCTTGGCGACCCCAGGCTTCAAGTTTGGAGCGCCTCCTCCTGATGCCAGAGGCTACCGGACTGAGCCGAACTGATCAGCATCGTGGCACAAAGGCCACTGCGTTTGTGCTGAGCTTGACAAAAGAGAGACCCATTGCAAGCACAACTGTGATGTATGCAGGTATTACAGCTTCATACAGCTTCTACATGTTAGCAAATGAACCCGAGGAAAGAAGAGTGGCCGTCGAGGATGGTTGTCAGGCATGGCGCCATGTTTCCTGTAGGGACTTTAGGGTTTAAGGCCCGAGGACATTCGGGGTTCAGGATCCAGGTGTCTCGGAGTCGAAAACATTTGTTTGCCTGAAGCCCCGGCATGGAAATCACGGCTTTGCACTTCAACGCAAGAAGGTGTTGAAGTGATTAGGTTCATCTTGACCAGTCCCGAAGTCCATCTTCACAAGTTTCGCGCATGTTCCGGGCTGAAACTCACCGCGAGTAGGAAACTCAGCCGTTCACCAAAGGACTCAAGCACCCATCAACCTACAGCCCCCAAGTCGCCGAAGCTTGAACCTGGGAGGCTTGAAACATTCCTTCAAGGATGCGGGCAAGTCGAGCAAGAGCAAGTCGGAAGGCTGGTCTGAAAAGTTGGGGGGCTGGAGAGGTGGGAGCTTCAGAAGATAGGAAACCAACCCTGTGAAGTTTCGAACGGGAATCCTGTGATGAGCAGGACCTCGAAACATGTTGACCTAGCCGATCATTACTTTCGAAGCATCGGCCTTCAGCTGATGGAGGGTTGTGGTGTGCAGTCACTGTTTGGTGTTTCCGGTGTCAGTGTGGTGTTTGGGAAGACTGGTGGTGAATGAATGCCCACTTGGCTCTTGACTCAGCTTCCTGGATCTTCTGCATGGATGATCGTCAGCTTGATTTTCTAAGGTCCCCCAAGCCAAACTAAGAGGACCATCATGGCACACATGTCATATCAATCCCACCAGCAATTGCTCTGCCCTGAAGAATCCGGCAGGATTGTCTCGGCAAGAAGACACTTGGCAGAATTGATTCCCGGCAGGGGTTCAGAGCTTAATGCGAGCTCAGGGTGCTATCACCCTTCCGGGCGAAGACATGTGCCGCACCTGAGTCCCGAGGTTAGGGCTCTTGATCTGGACTTGTCCGGAAGGGAAGGTCTTACGAGGGGTTGCCGTTCTGCGTGCGTTGAGATTCAGGATACAGTATCTCACAGACATGTCAAAGCCACCTTTTCCAACAACGGAGAAGAGACACCCGGGAAAGGTTTAGTTAAGAAAGTTTGAATGGCCTACATAAGGTCTCAAAGGCACAGGTAATTCCGACTGGCAACAAGTCCAAAGACCCAAAACAATCCCATCGAGGCGCGGCTGAGGGAGGCAGCCGCTGAGCTGGCATCTTTGCAGGAGGTTCGCCATTGATTCAGAGTCGAGAGCCATTGAGTGTTTTCTAAAGGCTCAGGGCTCGGGGACGTGAGATCTGGGATTTGGAGTTGGGGCTACGTAGCAAGACTTTAGGGATCGTCGGGCTTGGATACTCTCCCGTGCTGGAGTAGATTGAGTACGACTTCAGACTGACTCTGTCATGATTAAAACTGTTCACACTGTAGCTCTAGCTCAGAGACTGCAGCAGCAGTTCAGAAGTTTTCAGAGCGTTCCTGTGCACTTCATCCTGGAAGGTTCTGAATCGGAAGTCTTGGGTCGTTTTGTGCAGCCGAGTTCATCCCTGGTACAACCTGAGCTCGGCGGTTTGAAAAGCCCCAACCTTGCAGACCCTCTTGTATACTGTCAAGTCAAGCGAAGTAATTCCTCTTTGCCTTTCGGATGGGACGGGCCTTTTTCAGTTTAGGGGTTTGGCATCTGGGTTGGTGCTGTGCTGTTGTAGTCATTATAGTTTAACAGGCTTAGCGTTTGGCAGCTGCGTTCTGGACCACTGGAGAATCAGGGTGCCCGTCGCCATGAAAGGTCAACATCAAGATTACCAATAATGACGCTGACAACCAACAACAACAACAACAA